TTCAAGTAGGATCATATGAGAAAGAATACCCCTCTGTTTTGTAATCATGATCTACGGGTGGCATTCATGCTGGCAGTGCAGTGCAGCCGGTCCATGGTAGGTGTACTTGAACCTGAACCTGGAAGGGCAAGCCAATTGCCCGAACAGGCGAGAGTCGGAGGAGATCCGCCCGATGTTCCCCAGCTACCAACCTCGCCATCCCCGCATCTGGATGGAAGAACGAGGGGTAAACCAGCAAACACATCTGGTAGTCATAGTACCTGTCAAGCGTGTCATGCTGCCTGATTTGTCTATCTCCACGGTCTATCTCAATTCTCCAGGTAGCTAGCCTTGCTCGAGCAACGACCATTGCATGGCCCATGAGTAGCAACCAGAAACATACTTCACTAATGATCATGACAATAATCAGAAATGACCCTCAGATAGCACATATCGAATCCCCCATAAGCCAGCACTTAAGCCCTACCCCCCGATCTCCCAATCTCCTCCCCTCCCCGTCCCGAAATTCCAGACCCGAATTCCCTTTCCCCCCCCGGATCCCGTCCGCAAACCCCAGCTTTTCCCGCAAAACCCCCATAATAATGGTAGCGGCCTAACCGCAACCGCAACCGCAAACCCCCACCCTCCATCGCGTCTCATTCAACTTTCGGGAGTGGATCTCGGTGCGAGCGGGGTTGAAGAACAGGGCGTGGGCTGAAAGTTGTAGCCCGTCAGGGACTGCATGTCGACCCATTTACCCAACTCCGGCAGAGACCCCAAGGGTCGCACGTCTCATCTCAATCCCACTGGAATGTAACCATATTTGACATGATCGTGGGGTTAGCCAGGGTTTGACGACCATCGCCTACCGCTCCAACGCTGCGATTTCTCCTGGTTCTGCGCGCCCACCAACCAGGCTGGCGGGACCAGCCGATCATTATGGCTAGATCTATGCATGTCTCTTGGGGGTAGTCGGGTCCCACGATTGCTTGTAGCGGATACACGAGTATTTAAGTAGTTTGTGTGACCCTGTAGTTTTACCCCCATGCCATATTGTTTTTGTTCTTGTGCTTCCTCCTACGTTCTGCCTTCGACCCCCGGGTGCACAGTGGCTTTGATCCTCGATACAAAAGACAACAGCTTGTACTACTGTATGAGCTCCTTCCATGGCAACAAATCACGCTCACTGATCCGCCAAGACCAAGCAAATACACAATGGACCTCATACCGTCATGGAACGTCGTTCACCGCTTCGAGAAGCGCAAGCTCCTCATCGCCATCAACAGCGTGGCCGCCCTCTCGATCCTCTTCTTCGGGTACGACCAGGGGGTGATGGCGGGCGTGAACAACTCCAAAGACTATATCGACCTGATGGGGTTCGGGTACACGAAGATGGAGAACGGGGAGCTGACCGCCGTTGTCACGGACAGTCTGCTGCAGGGGGGCATTGTTTCGGTCTACTACCTGGGCACGCTGTGCGGCGCGCTCCTCGGGGGCTGGGTCGGGGACAAGATCGGGCGGATCAGGACGATTGCCGTCGGGGCGGCCTGGGCGGTGGTCGGCGCCTGTTTGCAGTGTTCGGCGCAGAATCACGATTGGATGATCTGCGGTGAGTTGGGTTTTTCTGAATTCGGATGCACGCTATCCGATAGCGGATGCAGAGAGGCGGGCTGCTGCTAATGGGATTGATGTAGCGCGCTTGGTTAATGGGATCGGGACTGGGATCTTGAATGCAATCGTCCCGGTTTGGGCGACAGAGACGGCGGAGCATACTTCGCGTGGCCAATTCATTGCGATTGAGTTCACGCTGAATATCTTCGGTGTGGTGGTGGCTTATTGGTTGGAATTGTACGTAACCATTTGTTGGTTTGTTTTGGCCTGGTTCAGCAGCACATGCTAAGATCGATTGCAGCGGTCTGTCCTTCATCGACGGCGGCAAGTCCGCGTTCCGCTGGCGTTTCCCCATCGCATTCCAGATTATCTTCCTCCTCATATTGTTCGGTGTGGTCTGGTTCTTCCCCGAGTCGCCCCGTTGGCTCGTCAAGGTCGGTCGCGAGCAAGAAGCGCGCTACATTCTCGGCCGGCTGCGCGGCAACACGGGGGATGATGCTGTGCGCGCCGAGGCGGAGTTCCGGGACATCCAGAGTGTGGCCGAGCTGGAGCGGTCGATGAACCACAGCACGTCATATCTGGCGATGTTGTTTGGATACAAGACGGGAAAACTGCATCTGGGTCGGCGGGTGCAGCTGGTCATCTGGCTCCAGATCATGCAAGAATGGGTTGGTATCGCAGGAGTCACAGTTTGTACGTTGAACCCTTAAGTCTCTCCTCATCTCTCGTCTGCCTAGGCTTCTGACGTAAGGGAAACAAAACAGACGCCCCGACAATCTTCAGCATCGCAGGTTTCGACTCGATGAAAAGCCAATGGCTAAGTGGGTTGAACAATATCTTCTACATGGTAAGCCGGGTAATAGAGTCATGATTGTGTACGCACATTCTGACGAGCAAAATCCCAGTTCGCCACCCTCGTCTGCGTCTTCACGCTTGATCGCATCGGCCGCCGGTGGACGCTCTATTGGGGATCCACCGCGCAGGGGATCGCCATGTTCCTGGCGGGAGGCTTCTCGCGGCTGGCCATCAATGCTCGGGAGGCGGGCCACAGCGATAAAGCGGCCTCGTTTGGTGCGGCGGCCGCTGCGATGATCTTCATCTTTACCTCTGTGTTTGGCGCGACATGGCTGACTGGTATGTCTTATGATGGGATGCGTTCAGGAGAGAGGCTAACGCTTGGATACGTAGTGCCATGGATCTACCCAGCCGAGATCTACCCGCTTGCGGTGCGGGCCCGCGGCAACGCCTGGGGAGTCGTTGGGTGGAGCATCGGAAATGGTTGGCTGGTTAGTGTTCCCCTAGCGAGCCCGTGCTTTCCGTTCTGCTTTCCCCGTTGAAGAACGTGGTATTTGCGGATGATGGAGAGTGAAGGGATGGCTGGAGTTGAGATGACTTGGAATGGACGAGGTTCGGAGGGCTCTGAGAATTCCCAGTGCGGGAAACCAGATGAAGCACGAGCGCGGCTACCATGACTGTACACCCGCTAACGAATCTCTCTCCTAGACCCTGCTATGCCCCGTGATGTTCAGCGCCATCGGCGAGAAGACGTTGTATGTGTTTGCAGCGAGCAATGTCATTACGATCCCGATGGTCTGGGCGCTGTACCCGGAGAGTAACCAGCGGACCTTGGAGGATATGGATCTGTTGTTCGCGGCGGACTCTCCATGGGTGTGGGATGCTGAGAAGACGTTTGCGAGGTTGAAGGCGGAGAATCCGGGGTATGTTGAGACTACGGCCAGGAAGGGGAGTTTGGTGGTGGAGCATGTGAATGTATAGCACGGCAGGATGGGATGTAGCTAGTTTAGCGCTATTTAGACGAGACCCTAGTTCGATCGTCGCTGAGTGGTGTGAATCTTTCGATCTGCCTTAATTTCTACGTACTTCCAGACTAGCTAACCTGATTGAACTGATGAACATAAAACATCTGCCTTACTGTACTATGTAGTAAGGTACTTACTTGACAGTGCATACCGGATAACCTTCCGAACCGAAGAGAAGACAACCCGCAATGATTGGTCAATTCCAAAGCAATCCCGACCTCATCTCCAAACCTCCCGCCCAATAACAACCTCCTCCTCAAATCATCTTGAACTACTTATACCGCCTCCTCTTAGATCAAAAATCACTAAACCCTCAATTATTCAAATTCTTTCACAGTTGCAAGCCTCCTACTCAGCCACCCTCCACACAACCAAGGTAACTCACCACCGTAACTTCCAGCAACACGAACAAGCTGACTAATCCCCAACCTTCCAAAGGACCCATCCAACCATCCATCCAAAGCATCACGGACACAGCCTACAAAAGCCCAAACAAAAAGACCAAAAGCTAGTCTGCTGCCTGTCAATACATTCCAACCTACAGACCAAAAGACATTTCAAATACCAAACACCAAACCCAGCAATCCGACCTACTCACCACAACATACATACATCTATCACCCCCAATACATAAGTTACTACCACCACACAAAATGCCCACCCCCAAACCCACTACAAAAACCACCAAAGCACCCAATCCCAAGACCCAAGCCCAAACCCCATCTCTAGCCCCCACCACCACTACCACCACTACCACTTCCAACCCCACCCGAAACAAAACCCTTCACCGCATCCGCACCCACCCAACCCTCCCCCCGCACCGCCGGAACATCTACATGACCTTACTCACCGTGCCCGCCGGCCGGTGGACGACCTACGCCGCCCTGGCGCGGCACCTGGGCACGAGCCCGCGGGCCGTCGGCGCGGCGATGCGCCTGAACCCCTTCGCGCCGGAGGTGCCCTGTCACCGGGTGCTGGGCGGGGGCGGGCGGCTGTTGGTCGGGTACTCCGGGGGCCCCGGGGCGGGGGCCGGAAGGGCGAGGGACGGGGTGGGGATGAAGCGTCGGTTGCTGGAGGAGGAGGGGGTTGTGTTTGACGGAGAGGGGAGGGCGGGTGGGGTTTGTTATGTGGATTTCGGGGAGGGTTCTTGAGGGTGAGAGGGGAGGGTGTTATATTCAGGTTACATGAGATTGTGATTTATGATCGGAGTTGAAGGTCAAGGTCATATGGTATAGGTATGTTCGTGTATAGTATCTAATAATATAAGGAACCGGTCAAACTTTCAGTAAAAGATGTAAATGCAAACGCAAAAAGATAAACCAGATAAAAGCTGCTGACCCATGACACCGAGTCCAATGTACAATCCAACCCCGGTCCTAAACGCCGCCTTCCCCCAGTCCACCTCCCTCACTCTACTGTGAGGTACATTCATGTCGACATAATGTGAAACAACATAACATAATATGACATAGGAAAGGACATAAGGACATAAGCATGAACATAAACATAAACATAAACATCTGACAAAGGAAAAGGGTATCTCTATTCATAACACAACACACGGAGACAAAAGCTAGACAAGACAAGCAAGACAAGACAAGGCAGGCTACACAGACATCCATCTAAGCTGTCTTGGCCCGCTTGGCTGCCCGCCGCTTGGGCACGTCCCAGTGGTGGAAGGAGCGTAGATGCTCGATCAGATGGTCCCGACGAGGGAACCCATTGCCATCCTTGCGGAGACATTCCTGCACGGGACAGTCTTGGAAGACAGGATTGTGGACGCTGGTCTGGTGACGTTTGAGATCGGCTGGCCGAGTAAACGCCTTGTTGCAGTCCTCGCAGGTGTAGGGCTTGACGGGTCTGCAGGGTCTGCGGGTTAGCTTTGTTGACTAACAACCACCGAGGGAGGAAAAAAAACCCGAAAAAGAAAATGGGGAACTCACTTGGACATGTCGAGGGTCTCGTAACTTTCAACGGGAGAGTAAACAATTTCCGGGTTCGGGCTGGATTGGGTGGGGATCCACTCTATATTGGGCACCGGGAACGAAGACGCTTGAATTGGAAGCTGGTGGAACGAGTAGGCTTCAGGCGAATAGACCATGGGCGAGGCCGTGAAGGTGTTGTTGTTGCTGGGGTAGTACATGTCATAGGTCGACGAGGCCACCGTCTGGGGTGAACTGAAGGGTGTCGAGTCGTATGATGAGGGCTCGTATGTGGGCTGGACGAAAGACATCTCCGTCCCTACCATCCCATACAACGACGGGTGGCCCATGTATCCCAGAGTCGATTGCATGGACTCTTCACTGCTGGTGGAGTACGAGTGTTCCATTTGGGGACATTCAAGCATAGGAGGGCTCTATAAGGGTTCAAGTCAGTCTTGGTATCTTGCGATAGGTAACCCTCACATAGCCTGGGACTCACCATTGCAGACATGGCATACATTGTGGAGTTCAAGGAAAGGGAAAATAAGAAAGTATATACAACGGTGAAGACGCGATGAAAGAAAGAGTGTGTATGAGAGAGAAAGAGTTTCAGTAAATCAATAGTCTGCAAGGGTTCTTTTATCCAAGAGAGAATGTGATACTAGTGAATAACAAGCAAAAGCGTGAACCAGCCAGACTGGGCTTTCCGGGTTTTTATAACCATTGTCTTCTTTGATCAGGTCAGGTCGACTACGTCGCACTTGCATTAGACGCGGCCGGGGCTTCTCCACTGCAAAAACAGCCCAAACGGCCAGCGCCAGAGAAGCTAAGCAACACGAACGCACCCACGGCGACATCATCAGGTGAGTGTGCTACGGACTAGTATGATCTTCCACTAAAATGCTAGGGTGGGTGGGAAAAAGAAGGGAAGAGTGGATTGGGAAGGAGAAATGAGGGGAGGGGGGGTGTGTGGATGGTAGACTCAATGCAGCCTGGGAGCCCTGGGAAATGGGAACCGGGAATAATGCAGGAGGAATTGGAGGAGAAAACAACAACAACCACAGTTTACCACAGTTTACCACACAGCCCCCCCGCCAGCGGGGCACTGCCATTGGCGAGCGGGCAGATTGCAAACCTTTGGAAGTGAAGCGATCCCAGCTAGTGCTGGGCTAGTGCTGACGCTAGAAGCACCGAAGAACCAAAGAACCTTCTTCCAAGCTTCTAGGGGCGATTAGGCTCGGTTGATTGGTGGTTGGCACGGAAAGTAACCAGCGACGGACTCCACTCCGGCCCGAGAAAAAAGAGGAGCCATTCCAATGATTCCAACCAGAACCAGCCAAAAGTCCAAGACACTCTGCGGTGAAGGCTGACACTCGAATCAACCTAATCAACCTAATCATCCTGATATCGTCATAGGGAAGAGCGATCCCCCACATCAACTGATTAAGTGATAAATAATAATTCAAACCCATTCGGTGGACCGTCGGCTGCTACCATCTTAGTCGCAAGTTGGGCCTCGATGAAAGACTGGCCAAGGTTCTGGAAAAAAATGATGCGGGCTAGGATCGAGTCCTGACTCGTTCCAACAAGACCGCCATTTCCCTTCAACCTTTTTCTTCATCTCCCTCTCGCCCTTCCCCAAGGCGGGAAAGTTTTGGAAGCGGAGCCTGCCGACGAAGCTCACCAGATGCATTTGGCGAGACGAGACTGAACGGAAAAGCCTCCCGATGATGTCGACCGGAGATACAGAAAGTATCAAAAGTACTGAACTGTATGTATGGACTGTTACTACTGTAGCTCAAGCTGTCACGAGCCGCCCTTGTGCAGGAGTCATCGAACCCCGGGGCCATCGGGCAAAAGAGATGCAGAGAATGCATCTTGGGGAAAGGCGGGAGGAACGTGATCGCAGCGAGCGAATGGGGAAAGATCGAATCGATCGGAATGGATCGTGGGTGGTTGGCGATAAGAGCTGAGAACAGACTGCAATTGATGAGGAAGGGAAGGAGGGAGGAAAGAGGGTTAGTAGGTAATTTCCCCGGCCGGGAATGGAATACCTCGCAGTTCGGCACGGGCTTCCCGGGGCGTTACTTTTTCTGTTACCTTTTCTTTTTCGTTGTCTTGTTTTCTTTTCTTGTTGTCGCTCAATAACGATCGATTTTGCTCTTGTTCAATTCCCGACAGCCTTGTTGGAAGTGCCAAGAAGCGAAGCACGGGTGGTGGAATTCGGTCTGGGGAAACGAAAGTAACAATGACGATGATGATGATGATGAAGAAGGCAAGATGCAGGCGAGAAGCAACCGAAGAACTTACAATCACTCATCCACCTCCATCAATACCCGCACAGCCCCTCCCGCGATCAGAATGAGGTTGAATCTGACACAGCCAGCATTGAAGCTGTTCCTGCTCCTCCTGCGCGTGTAAAATCGCGCATGACATGAAGCTCTCTATCGTTCCTGCGGTAGAAGGAAGTGAGGCGACTTGCGCGATATTTCCCCAGACCAGCGTGCTTCATTCTTATTGAAGCTTCAAGACTTAGTTGTCACTGGTCACTGGTCAACTTGACGCTTAGTACTGTGCAGTACAGCCTGGAGGAGGACCGAGTTATCCGAGCAGGACTCCTCGCGAGGTTGTCTGCCGCGGTACGTATGCTCGATTAACGACCAACTTACTGTAGATATCACGAGCCTCTCAGTAATCCACACCTCACTTTTGATTGACCGGCAATAGAAAGACCACCCGTCATCCGTGCCAGACAACATGGACCAGCTACTTACTCTTCTCAGTACCAGTACCTACCTAGCTAAGGCAGGGTCTTCTGGTCTCGACTGGTCTTTCCTTAGACGAGTTGATCCAAGCGGCGGCAATTCATCGTCGCAGGACCCATTCTTCCTTATCCTCGAACATCCTTAATTTCCTCTCGGTCCCCACGGGTGTGATACCCAATCTACAAATCGATTCTAGCTCCAACGACCTTGAGAGATGGAGTACGTACGTACGTACGGTGCACCCACTCTGAGAAAGAGGGTCGCGGCTCAAGCACCACCTCACGGCAGGCAACTATTTTCCCTGTAGGTCTTCTCAGATCCAACTAATTTCCTTTGTCCATCAAAGTTCCCTACGGACCCTCCTGCTTCCCGCGCGCTCATTGCCGCCGCTAAAGGCATTAATTCGGCTCCCCCCAAAACACAAAAATCAAAACAGAAAAAAAAAAACAAACAAACCACTTTTCCCACTTGTTCTGGGGTCCGTGCTGGGGGAAAATCTTCAATTCTTCCCACTTGGTCGACTATTTTTACACCGACTTTCTACCGTACCATCTGATATACGGTGAGAGAAGAGCGAATCAACAGAGCACGGAGCACACGATGTTCGCCTTCATGGTTCTCGATGACGTCTAGTCTTCGTCCCTAAAGGTAGTCTCCGGAAAAAAACGAAAACTCTGCACTTCCTTTCTTTGTTCTCTCGATTGTGTTTTGACCCCCTCTCCTACTGGATTTTGTCCGTCCTGCATGATTTCCGAGTCTTATCCACCTTTCCCCCCCGGTCTTCCTTGAACCTACCTAGTACGGAGTCTAGTTACTATGCATACATAAGGTACTATGTATGTACAGTAAGTAATATGTATGCATTCAGAGTTGAAGAACTGCTTGCTGCATGTCATGTCGCAGATCTGCCGACTTGCCTTCCAAGAACGCAAAGAGAAGACCCGAATATACTTTCGGTAGATGCAGCTTCCCCCCTCTGCCCCCCCTCTCCCTGAGTCCATACTATGAAACCACCACCCAGGCCTCCGTTTCAGTTCCATTCAAGTATCCTCTTCCCCCTTCCCCCTCTCTTTCCCCCTCCTACCTCCCCACCTCTCCCTTCACCAGAATATCAGACCTTCCAAGTTGCAACCCACACACAGCAGGGTAAAACCTGGCATTCACAGCCCTCTACCCCCTCTACCCCCTCTGCCCCTCGCTGTTCTAGAACTTCAAATGCAGATCTTACCCCGGAAGGTCCTACACATCTACTCATGACCGAGACTATCCGGCCGAAGAAACGAAGACAAAACCTCGATGGGGAGTGGAGGGGCATGCTTATGTGTGTCCATTCCAAATGGTGTTCATTTAAGATCAAGACAAGATCATCTTCAAAAGCAACAACAGTAACCCTTTAATGCACCAAGGTCGAGAGAGGGATCTCAACAAACAAACATACCAAAAAGGAAGGTTTCTTCTTCTCCTTTCTTTGCAGTGATTTTATTTGCCCGGCAGCCCCATTCATGTTCAAGGAATAAAACAGCACAGAAACTCCCAGTTTGTGTCCCCTTATTTCGTAAGACTTCGTTCGTTCCCTTTGCATGCTTTCGAAGAGAGAGAGAAAAAAAAAGACGAGCAAACCCAGCAGAAAACAGAAAGAAAAGAAGAAATCCCACACAGATCACAGATAAGATCAGAAACAAGAGACAGATTTGATCACTTCGAGGCACAGTACAGTACCTCCTGCAACCGGATGGGCGGCTGTCAGAATGAGCAAGGAAATAAAAGTCTTTGTTTTTTGGTTCCTTATGGTTTCTCTCTGTTTTGTGTTCCTTCATCTACAGTGGTGAAATCATGGAGGGAGCAAATAGAACATTCAGCACAATGTACACAAACAACATCTCGTAAGTTTGCCCTCGAAATATTGTGGTTCGCGTGCTGATGGTTGCGGAGGAAGGGTGGGTGGTTTATAGTTCGTCCTCAAGGTACTTGTAGACGAACTTGAAATCCGCTTTACGACGGTTCATCCTGTAGTCCCGAAGTTAGTTTACTTTCGTGTTGGACCGGCTTACTTCCAGGAAAAGTGAGCAAAAGGGAAGAAGCGGGGAAGAAACATACCAGGTGCTCTCGTAGTCGAAGAAACGATACGTTCCCTGTTCGAACTCCTCGGTGATGGTTTTGGGTTCTTCGTGGCGCTGGAACCAGGTCTGGTATTGCTTGTGGAACCGCCAGCTCTGGTTTTTCAGCGCCTTGGCGGCCAGGTACTGCTGGTACGAGCCCTGGCGGTAGTAGAACAGGTAGAACAGAGTATCCGTGTCGATGCGACCGGTTTCGTACAGACGCGGGTCGTCGAAGATTGGGAGAGGTTCCTGGGGGTAGTAGAGGGGGGTGTTGTACGGGTTCTGCGGCTTGTAGTGACGGGGTTTCTCCGCGTCGGCCGGCTCGGGGCAATTGGCCAGGGAGGCCGCCAGCAACCGCTGCACCGACGGGGACGGGTTGGTTGCACTGGCCGCGGCACGGCTCTTGGTCACTTCAAATGACTGGATCAGATCCTGCAGGCCCGGCGGGAGGTGATAGATGGATTCCTCGCTCTCGCGCGACGATTCCTCCTTGCCGCTTGACTCGCCGTTGGTGGTGTTCGCCGTCGTGGTGGGTCGGGATGTGTTGCTGGTGATGGTGATGTTGTTGCTAGTGCTGCTGCCGCTACCCGAGGCCTCAACCTTCTCCATAGCGGGGGTCTGCGGCACGCCTCGCGTCGACGTGCTTGCGCTGGCCACGCGCGGACTCGCAGCAGGGGTCTTGGATCGGCTGCCACTACTCGACTCCTCGCCCGCTATCGTGACTCCTGTCGAGGACTTCACCGCGGGTTGTGCGGGAGCGATGCTGGGGGAGGCGGTTGTGGAGGTGGAGGGTTTGGATGCAGGTACGGCGTGGGAGAAAGCGGGGCTGGCTCCTGGCGGTGGCGGCAGAGGCGCGATGCCCACGCCGTTCTTGTCGCTGGCAGCAGCTGCAGCCGCCGCAGAGGCGTACTTGAGGGTCTCTCCTGGCAGGCGCGTTGGAGGCGGGGCGGGTTTCATGCCCGAGGTGGCACTTGTCGACGTTGCGGGATGGAGGGTGGCCAGCACGGGAAGAGGGGACTTCATCTGCGCGGAAGGTCGTCGGGGTCCCGAGGTATCGGGCTTCGCTTTCGGCTTGACAACCTCCGGTTCCTCTTCTTGCACCGACTGGGTATCTTGCGATGATACACGGTCGTTGTCGCCCGCGATGCCGAACTGCATCTCCGCCTCGTTGTCCATGTTCAGATCATCGTATAGGGTCTCGTCCTCGCCCGAGTAGTCCAAGTTGTGCCCGTCTTCCACATAGTACTTGATACTCTCCTTGAGATCCAGGACTTGTTGCGTCTCGACGTTGCCGTTCTGCAGCGACCGTAACAGCAGTTCCAACTTGTTGACATGCCACTTATGACGCTCCGTGATCCGCGAGATATCCGATAACCGATTCGTCTTGGCCACGTCCTTCTTCCCCTTCTTCATCTGCATATGTAACGTCTCCTCTTCTGCCTCCATAGCCTCGATCCGTTGTTGTAGCTCGTCGACCATGCTCGATAGGAAGTCGCATGTCTCCACCTTCTCCTTCTCTTTGGGATCCAATCTCGACGCTGCCGACAAGCCCTCCTTGGAGTATGCTTTCGTCTTCATCTCCTTCTCGACGGCCTTAAACTGCTCCATACACTAGAAGCTCCTATAGTCAGCAAAACAAGCTGCCCTCCTCGCCAAGGCATTGAAGGGCGGAGGGATGCGCACGGTCTCGATGGCTCTGCGCTGCTCGAGCAGCGGACCCTTATCTTTCACCTCATTTCCAGACGCCCACGACTTGATCTGATCCCGATACCGTTGGAGCTTCTTGATCTCGCGCTTCAGGTTTTCCTCGAGCTTATCCCGCTGGGTGTGATTCGTCGTCGAGCGGATCTTCTCGTAGATGCCCTCAAATGTGACGATGCCTTCGGCGACCTTCTTGAAGGTCTTATCAATCTCCTGCTGCGTTTTTCGGGACGTCATAGCGGCGACCGTTTCCACATGAACAAGAGAGGGGAGGGACTCGACGAAAAATTGACGTGGGTGATGTGAGACTCGGAAGGGCCGAGGAACGGATGGGATGAACGGGAGGGAAGGTCGCAGGGCGGATTGAAGAGAATTTCGGATGGTCAAGCGCGTGGGGGCAAGTTACTGCTTGCGCAGCTCTTTGTTGACGAAAGAACGCGGGGGCGTGATTGATTTTAGGGACACAGTGAAGGAGTGTCAATCTCCTGATACTTTGGTCCTGGTCTCTTCGAAGCTGGGATAATGCTCGAAGTAGTAGGCGGTCACGGGGGGATGGGCATTACCGATCCTGGGGGCGGCGAGCGGGCAACTCTTAACCTACTGTTCATCATCTTCTCCTCCGTCATACATGATCCATGGTGTGGGTTGGTGAAATCTACAACAACAACTTTTTTTGTCTTCAGGCTGGCAAGATTTGAGGTAGGAGGCTGAATTTACCCATTTCCCTTGGTATTGGTTCTCTGTACAGGAGTGCGCTGACATAATTCTCAGCATTTTACTTAGCAGTCAGTTGTTGTCCAGTGACAGTGAGTAGTAGTATGCGCCGCCGGTTGCAGCTACCCGCTTGCCGCAATAAGGCCGATATTGACAAGCAGTTCACAAATCCTCGCAGACTTCCCCACCGCTGAACTGCCACGACCATATTCTTGATTATTTGGCGCACTGCAATATGAAGGGTGCGCAATCTATGAGAAATGCCTGCGAGATAAAATAGCCCTGACTGATGCCTCGCACAGCGGTACTTCAACGAGTCAAGTCCGCCTCGGTCACCGTCGACGGGCAGCTTGTGTCGTCGATCGGCCAGGGGCTGCTTGTGCTTGCCGGTGTAGGCAAAGAGGACACGGAAAAAGATGCCGATACGATGGTTGGCCGAATATTGAAAGCCAAGCTTTGGTCCGATGAGAATGAGAAACAGGTGAGACGAGACGAGGCTCGCGATTTCTCGGTTGCCTGCAGCACACATCTAACGCGGCGCATTGCAAACCTAGTGGAAGAAGAACGTCCAAGATATCGATGGCGAAGTGCTTTGCGGTACAGTCATATCTCTCCACAGATCGTCTTTTGGGATGCGCTTCGCTGACACTCCTGTCCTCTCCCATCCAGTGTCACAATTTACCCTCTACGGCGAGTTGAAGAAGGGAAGCAAGCCGGACTTCCACGCCGCAGCCGATGTGGAGACTGCGCGAAAACTCTACGACTACTTTTACCAAAAACTGAGCAACAGCTACAAGCCTGAACGGGTGAAGAATGGCATCTTCCAGGCGATGATGGAGGTCGAGCTCAAGAACGACGGGCCGGTGGGTGTAGATTACCGCAGTGAAGATGCGGTGGTAAAGCTCTCGCTTCTCTTCCTGCTTCCTTCACTTATGATTCTGGGCTGACGCTTATGGTTCTTTGCGGCTGATATAGGTCACGATCGAGATCAACACCCAACTACCCAAGAAGGAGAAGAAGAAGAAGGAGAAGGAGGCCGAGCCGCAAGAAACGCAGCCTCAGACTTTCGAGTTCAAGATACCCGCGGAGTTGTTGGATTGATTCATGGAAGGGCGTCACGATGAATATACGAAAAAGAATGATCCCTCGGGATTCAGGTTGGTTCAGGTGTATATAAAAAGCTCCTTATTATAGACATACCCATAATAGATTTGGGGGGAAATGGGGTGGGTGGGAAGGGAAGGCGTTTAGATTCCAGAAGCATAGAATTCCCCAGATTGCCTTACTCGGTACGAACAGTAGTAGGAGCGTAGATCCACTCCTATCAGACCGCGATCGATCGCGAACTAGTGATCAATCAAGACGGAGAGAGGCGGAATGTAACGGGATTGGGAGAGGGGGAAGGGGGGAAGCAAAGGAAAAGAAAAGAAAAGAAACAACGTACTGTATGTACAGTACGTACAGTGGCAGAGGTTCCCGGTAGGCGCCAAAGAGAAACGATGGAAGCTTCTTGAAGCATCGCAAGCAGAGGGCCCCGGCCCAGCCCACTTCTTACCTCTTTAGTCCTGGACTTTCTCCTCTTGACTTTCCTTCCTTTCTCCTCATTTACTGGTACTCTGTCAGTCAGTCAGTCAGTCATTTTATCCACTTACCCATTGTCTGACTTCTTCTCCTTATACATTCTCCTTCTTTCTTCTCTCTCCTGTGCCAATTAACAGCCACCTTTTCCGCTTTCCCACCTATCTTCTCCATTCACTCTCCACACATAGCCATCATCTAGCACCATGGCTGAGTCCCAGCGTGTGTTCCGACTTCCCTTCTTCCCCGCCGCGGGGATTCAGCTTCGAAGCTCCGGTAACTGACCCATTGCGCTCCTACAGGCCGCCCCCGTGTCTTCTTTGACATTCAGATCGGTGAACAGAAGGCCGGTCGCATTGCTCTCGAGCTGGTCAGTAGTTCTTTCGTTTAATTAGCGGACATTTCCTTTCCTGTGCCGAGGCCGCCGATCTTGGAGTGAGAGCCTTGCTAACCTACCCCGCCCGCGCAGTTCAACGATGGTATAGTACCAACCTAAGCTCCACGACCCTTTTCCCGGGCACACTCTGACCATACAATAGTTGTTCCCAAGACCGCAGAGAACTTCCGTGCACTCTCCACAGGCGAGAAGGGCGTGGGCAAGCAGGGCAAGCCATTGAGCTTCAAGGGTACGATTTTGACCATTTCCGGTCCCCATTTTTTTTCTCCTTCCCACTTCCCGTCCGCTCCGACATTGGTCCTCGCAAGCCGAAAACTAACCACCCATGACTTGACCAGGTTCCATCTTCCACCGTGTGATCAAGCAGTTCATGATCCAGGGTGGTGACTTCACTGCATTCAACGGCACTGGCGGTGAATCCATCTACGGCGAGAAGTTCCCCGACGAGAACTTCGACCTCAAGCATGACCGGCCTTTCCTCCTCTCCATGGCCAACTCCGGCCCCGGCACCAACGGCAGTCAGTTCTTCATCACTACTGTCCCCACTCCTCACCTTGACGGCAAGCACGTCGTCTTCGGCGAGGTAATCAACGGAAAGAGCGTTGTTCGCAAGATCGAGAACATGTCTACTCAGGCAGACAAGCCCACCACGGACGTCACCATTGTCGACTGCGGCGAGCTCACCGGCCAAGACTACGAGGATGCCGACAAGCAGACCCCTGATGCAACTGGCGACCCCTACGAGGATTTCCCCGATGACCACCAGGGCGAGCAGCTGAGTGCTCCTGTGTGCTACAAGATCGCCGCTGAGTTGAAGAACTTCGGAAACGCCGCCTTCAAGAGCGGCAACATCGCCCTTGGTCTCGAAAAGTACCAGAAGGGTTTGCGCTACCTCAACGAGTTCCCCGAGCCCGACGAGCAGGACCCCAAGGAGCTTGGCCCCCAGATGAAGGCTCTCCGCTTCACCCTCCACTCTAACTCTTCCCTCCTGGCGAACAAGCTCGGCCAATGCAAGGACGCTCAGACCTGGGCTACTTACGCCCTCGATGTGGCTGCTGCCGCCGAGGCCAAGGATGCCGATAAGGCCAAGGCGTATTACCGCCGTGCCGTCGCCCTGAGCGGCCTGAAGGAGGAGGACGAGGCCCTGAAGGACCTCCAAGAGGCCGATCGTCTGGCCCCCGGTGACGCTGGTATTACCAACGAAATCGCCAAGGTAAAGAAGGCTCTTAAGGATCGCGTGGCTAAGGAGCGCGCTGCCGCTCAGAAATTCTTCTCGTGAGAGAGGAGACGTGACCGTCCGTCATGATTCATGAATTCATGATTTAGCATTACTTCTGCTACTTGCACTCCCAGAAAACGTGACGCAATCTACCTTCCCGTTCACCCACTTAGTCTAATGGGTTCCGACCCCACTTCCATATCTCGCAATCGCCGCGTGTGTGCAAACACATTCCTCCTCAATGTCGATCCTGCGAAGTCAGTAGCTCGTGGCTCTCACGCATAAGCCCCGTTGATGCTTCAATATTTTTCCTACGGAGCAGCATGGGTATTCAGCAACTTTTGCTTCCCATCCCCCAGAGACAATTCTCTCTCCCAACTAGATATATCCTGATAGTGTAGGAGAGAACGAGGATACTGGTATTTTCAGGCAGAATAGACCATTTGTGCATTGTATGTTTGTCTTGCATTGAAGGCCAGTGATTCGTTTGTGTCCAATGGACTAAAACCATAGCGACGGAGCAAGCAAGTAGAAAAGGAAACAGGTATAAACATCATGAATCATAAAAGAAGGATGTACGAGCACGTAGCAAGCTTGCTTGTCGTCCGGGCTGACAGCTCAATGAAGATCCTTTTCGGCGAGGAACTGCTCATATCGTGGCTTGCACTTGCGGCGCCAACTCTTTCCCCAGATTAGCATCGGGACGCCCATTAGCATGGAGAGCACGACCAAGATGCCGTAGAAGGTGAAAGTCCAGCCATAGTTGGTGCCGTCAATGAAGTCCTGGACCGTGAAGGAAATGACAAAGTTGATGATGGAGGAGCAGCAGGCTAGAATGATGACTAGTTCTCCAGATAACTAGTATATGGTTTGTAGGGTTAGATAGTTCGACCTAAGATACAAGGGGAAGGGAAAGCAGAAGAAGAGCATCGGCAAGAGAAGGAAGGGGTGCAGGGGTTTCATTATAGTCAGGGTACATGCAACTAACCTGATCGAAGCATTCCATTGCGTACGCAGTCGCGATACTCGTGGCAGAGACCTGCTGTGCGATCATGCAGCAGAGACCGACGGCAATGGTCATCCAGTGGGCACCCTCGGTGGCGCCCCAGCCATAGAGAAAGTAGCCGACAGCGGCGAGGATTATGGGGAGTCCGTAAGCCCAGAGACGCATTTCGGGTTCCTTGTACCCCTTGTTGCGGCGGGCGAGGAAGATGACAAGCCAGTCAGACAGCGAACCGATGCCCATTCTGAAGTTTATGGTTAGCTTGAATGTTGAATTGCACTGGATAAGGCACCGTACCCCATGAAGTTGCCGACGAGGGCAGCTAGGAAGATCAGCCCGGCGGGACCAGCGCTCCAGTTGTATGGCGGCTCGGTCATGATTTCGGAGATGGTGTTGAAGGAGACAATTCCGGCGGTGCAGCCTAGGGCAAATTGAATCCCTGCCAGGAGGATGTTGGGAAAGGCGAAGAGGAAGAATGGACGGCGAAAATACTGGAACCAGGTTGTATGGTCATCTTTAAAATAGTGCACTAAAGCAATTTTTTGGCGGTAGGTCCGCGGGGGCATTGAGATCTGCCCTGCACTATGGCTGGCTACGACGGATATAGGGGCTTCCATCTTCTGGTCTTTGTCGTCCATGGGCACTGTAGTGGTGGGGTCGACCTTCGAGTCCTCAGACGATGTATCGCCTGAGAACCGGTATCTCGGGAACATGGTGTCATCAAAAGTGAAGATGAAGAGAAGAATCAAGCAAGCCTTAAAACTCGTTTAGCTTCGGCCATGCTCTGTGTTGATGAGCACAAGAACTTACGCATGCTCCTGCCACGATGGGCTGGCTCCATCTCCAGCCGATGCCATCGGAGATATAACCACCACAAATCAAGCCAATGATGGAACCAAGCTGCTGGAAGAAAATATAGATAGCGAGCATACGGCCACGTTGATGGGAGAAGAAGACATCAAAGATCTATGATCCATTAGTACCCACAGAGAGGGTCTATAGAGGTACGTACCGTTAGCTGAATTAGGGCTTGATAGGCTGCGGTACCAATACCATTGACAGTCATCATGATGTAGTACTGTGCAACACCACTGAAAACACCGCCCCAGATTCCACTAGCGAGTACGAAGACCAAGCTGAGGATGTAAACAATCTTTCGTCCAAATTTCATGGCTGTGGGGATCCAGATTATGTTGAAAAAGCCGAGCATGAGATAGTTGAGAGCAGAGCCACCGTTCATATTGCTCAAGCTCACACCGGTATCCTCCGAGATTGTTGTCCATGCTGCTCCCCAATTGTTCTCGCCAAAGGAGTTCAAGCATGCGTAGGCAGAAATCAGAAAGAGCGTCCAGTATTTCTTGTACCTGGGCCAGTTCTAACAGAGAACAGTCAGTCTTGAGAATAGAGGCCAGCTAATCTACTTTCTCCCACATACCAAAGGATCGGCAACTGATGAAGTCGGCTGGGGAATCAGTATGATATCCTGACTGCCAGCATGGGCAGCGTCGCTCAGGTTTCCCCCTGCGTCGACGAGGTAAACCGTTCCCGGTACGTCTGTTTGTATATCCTCAGAGCGAGTCATGATGTTTTGATGTACAGCAGACAGGACATAGACAGGAGACCGGGAGGGGAAGTGGTCGCTCTTTTAAATGCAGCTCTACAGCACCAGCGCAGTTTGACCTGAGCCAAAGAGCATCCTCAGGCCCGGGGAGGCGTCAATATTCCGCTCTATCAAGGTTCATTTGTTCATCCGATTGGATGAGAATAACCGAGCATAATGCCATGGTAGGTGATGTTAGGTGATGAACGATAAGGCAAGGCAAGACGATCCTTGACCTTGGTTTGTCCGCCACTGCAAACACGAAGCCGACGATGGCCAACCTCTAGCGACATCGTGAACGCAGTGCCTCGTGATAAGAGAGGTGGAGTGAGACAATTTCCCTCGAGCCATTGAGGCAGAATGAATGGAACAAAGATAAGTATACTTGTCGAGGAAGCTCCAAACGACGGGTGTTATCGCAACGGGGTTGAGACTGATGGCATCTGCCAAGAAGGGCAAGGAGAGGAAGATGCGGAGAAGCCGTCAGATCCACCAACTAAAGCAGGTCTGGACACTGCACGCGACTGATAACATCCACCGCGAACAACCTTATCACTGTAGTGGATGTGTGGAGAAGAGGACGGTTAGGAGTGTAAGGTGAATACTGAGTATACTGAGTAGAAGGAGTCGTCGATATGCTCAGAAGCGAGGAAGGTCCAACCGGTTGGCTAAACTGCATTGGGAACCCCGCCTTTTGGCTGCTCGATGGCTGATTCCTTGCCATGCTTCTTCCACTTTGCCTCATACTCCATCCCCCCCGGGTCAATTCCGCGATGAACAGATGGACATGGCATGATGAAGCCTCCCCTTCAAATACCCTCGTCTTGGCCGATGCCCTCTTGATCTGTTCCTTTCTATACCAGAGCAAGTCCTTCTCCACTTGCCCGCTACATCCAGTACACAACTCTCAGCATCATGGCCCCCTCGGATTTAAGTCATGATTCCACCATCGTCATTGTTGGTGCAGGTGTCTGGGGATGCTCAACGGCTCTGCACTTGGTCCGTCGTGGCTACAAGAATGTCACGGTGCTAGATCCCTATACCGTTCCCTCTGCGATTGCAGCTGGGAATGATATCAACAAAATCATGGAACATCGAGAGCCGAAGGGTAAGTATCCTTGAGACTCGACGAACCAAAGAGAAACCGACTGATAAGTGACTAGAATCTGATACGGATCCCCGCAGCATTGCTTTTGCTACCTGCACCCGTGCTGCCTTGAAAGGCTGGAAAACAGATCCCGTTTTCAAGCCATATTTCCATGAAACCGGTGTGGTTGTATCGGGTCACACCCCTACGTTGATAGAACACATCCGCGAGACGGAAATTGAACCTTCGATGGGTGACTTTGTGAAGCTGGAAACGGCAGAGGACTTTCGCAAGACAATGCCGGCAGGAGTCTTGACTGGCAATTTCCCCGGCTGGCAGGGCTGGCTAAACAAATCCAACGCGGGATGGATCCACGCCCAAAAAGCCATGGTATCCGCCTACACGGAAGCCAAGCGCTTGGGAGCCAAGTTTCTTACCGGGTCCCCGCAAGGAAATGTCGTGGCTCTAGTCTTTGAGAATGGCGATGTTGTGGGAGCAAAAACATCCGATGGCGTGGTTCATCGCGCGGACCGCACAATTTTATCGGCTGGTGCGGGCAGTGACCGGCTTCTGGACTTTGAGAAGCAGCTGCGTCCTACAGCCTGGACCTTATGCCATATCAAGATGACTCCCGAAGAGGCCAAACTTTACAAGAATCTACCCGTGCTGTTCAACATTGCTAAGGGCTTCTTCATGGAGCCCGATGAGGATAAGCATGAGTTGAAGATCTGCGATGAGCATCCCGGCTACTGCAACTTTATTCCTGATCCTAAGCGGAATGGTGACATCAGGAGTATCCCATTTCCAGCACACCAGATTCCGCTAGAGGCCGAGGCTCGTGCTAGGGACTTTCTTCGGGACACAATGCCGCAGCTTGCAGACCGACCGCTTTCCTTTGCTCGTATCTGCTGGGATGCTGATACGCCAGATCGTGCCTTCTTGATTGATCGGCATCCCAAGCACCCTTCGTTGGTCGTTGCTGTAGGAGCATCCGGTAACGGCGCGATGCAGATGCCGTCAATTGGAGGATTTATCGCGGACGCACTGGAAGGTCATCTCCAGAAGGAGTTGATAGATGTTGTCCGCTGGAGACCAGAGACGGCCGTTGACAGGGACTGGAAAGCGACCCAGAATCGTTTTGGTGGCCCGAATGCAATCATGGACTTCCAGAAAGTCAAGGAAAGTGCCTGGACCAAGATTAGCGAGAAAAGCCGGCTATAGGGAAATCGAAGTGCAACCTGCGTCTTCACCTACCATCATACTTATGTAGGTAGGGAAATAGTATGATAAGCTGAGTGGTAATGAGATATGTGCATTTTCCAACTTCATGTGTAGCAGAGTATTTACATTAGGATCGAGCACCGGCCTCTTTTCCTTCAATAAGAAAGACTTTGGATTCTACCAAGAGTCAACTCCACAAGCCTTCGTATTTCAGCCAAATAGATAGAATGATTCATCACAACCACTCAAAACCGTTTGCAGCGCCAATCCTTCGATCATCATCATGAGCTTGTTCTATTATGCTGGAATTACTTCACCGATTCGCATGGCGCAGTGCCAGACGGATACAGTCAATATGATGACACCCATGACTCACTGGATGAGGTACCAAAAGGAAGAAAGAAATGCACACAGTCATTCTTCCTAGAGCTTCCCTAACCAACAGATGACCTCAGTTATTGCACACCTACGGAGTTCTACCAGTATGTTGCGAGGAGTGGATTCTGCAGAGAAAGAAGGACAGGAGAGGTATGCGTATCTTGCCCCCTCCCCACCCTTTCACTCTCTTGATCTCTCGATCTGGAAAGGCCCCATCAGCTCACTATTTACTAGCCATATCATTGGCAGGTGGACCTCAGGTAGTGCCAGTCACCGCACACGAACTCAGCTACGCGTCAGGATTCTTCCTGTCCTCGTCCGGCCAGCGTATCCGGGTCGGACGAAACAACCGATCATCCAGAGATGATAGCCCCAACACGACCTCAGACAACCATCCCATCGAAGAAGATCTCCGCGTGGGCGTCCCATTGTTGTTTGGACCAGACTGTTACCGCGAGGTGATCAGCCCAGACCATCCCCTCTATATAAGGAACCTCGACTTGGCACTAAAAGCTTTGGAAACCTGCAAAGAAAATGACCTGGGCAGTGTACCACTATCTCCAAGAGTTCAAGGGACCCGCCATCGTCGAGTATAACGTCGCGGTCGAAATCTGTGATATCCTGTTCTGCGCAAAGAACCGCCTCCGGTTGCAGTCGTCCACCGTAGAAAACGCCATCTTTCCGCAGTGGAAGGCTGTGTTAGAAGCAATTCTCCGGGCGATCCTTCTGACGGGAGGCCTTTGTCTTAGCTGCTGTCGCGCTGGGGCGACGTCCTGGTTCGGTCGTTTCACTTACTGTCTTGCTGGGGGGTGGATCCGACAGCATCCGTGGATTGGAAAGTGGTTCGGGAATTGATGGTTACCGTTCTTGAACCATTTGGTCTTGATTCAGATGGGGTGCTTATCCGACAGGACTCGGCAAGCCGACCAGCCGACCACCTTTGCAACCTGCATGACCTTCCCAAGTCCCTTACACACGGCTCCAAAGAGGATAAACCCTGCGAGATGGGGGATAGTTGAGCCTCAGGCCACTCACCCGAAGCACAGGGGACCCTGGGCTGCTGGGTGGAGCTCCAGGATCCGGAAACAGATGAGTGGATGCTGTACGCGCTGACGTCCGCGCGCAGTGTCCTGCCTACCGATGCACATGTTGAGTCCTGTGCTCAGAAGGGAGAGAACACCCCGGCTTTTGACGAGTGGAAGACATATGGCGTACCGTTCCGAGACGCCACAGCGGCTAGACTCCTGGTTGATAGCCCAGGCTTGTATGAAATCACAATGAACACGGACAACCTCGATGATTTTCGCACGAAAGTATGAGGACAAAATGCGCTACGAACATTTTCAAGCCGCGCAAGCGCAAAACGAGCCCGTGTCCGTCCCCGGTGATCTAAAATTCTGGACATATTTAAACAACACCCTTAACTGAGATTAGAGCAGAACGCACCCAGATCTAGAAGTATCAAGATAATAAGAACTAAGAGTTCGGCACTGCGGTCGCCACTTCCGGCCTGAAAGGACGACAGCAGGAACCATACTCCTCAGAAATCAGTTCACCGTCGGTCTTCCTGGACTGGGCCCTTGTCCGCATGCGCGCAGACCGACGGCTGGGTGAGAGCAAGGTAAACTACCATCCTATCCTAGCCCCTGAAAATCGCATCTCTGATAAGCATCTTCGCCTCCTTTTGCAGTCCCCATGTTCCTCGGAGGACTTTCTGGACCCAGCATCCGAAGTGTGGGACTTTGGTATTTGGAGGAGCGGCTCAAACCCGGGCAATCTCTCTGGAAGATAGAGCATTCCACGGCCACAAAGGAAGGTAGATACAACGGACTGCGCACAGCGTGGATCACCCATACTACTGCCAGCAACCCAAAAGAAAGAGGAGCGCCATTGGTTCATTATGTACATTCTATGTACAACTCGTACCACGGTGTGATGCTTTGCAGGGACTCAGGATCGATGGTGTTAGACCGGGACGGATATGTGGTTGGAATATGTTTTGAGGGCAATGCGCATGAGGACAAAGCCTACTCCATGCGGTGGGAGGATTTGTGGTAAGAATATTCTGAGTAAATAGGGGGCCAAGATTATTCGGTCTCTGGGGAATTAATATTCCTATCGGGGCTTCTCATTGGAGGTGGAGCGGCTTTCCCTGCGAATGATTTTTCGTGTGTCGGAATTAAAAGCAGCATGTTATCTTTGAATTGACTTGGCTCTCTCTTCACCCATAGCTCCTCTTCCGACTAATTTCCCACGAATTGTGGTCGTCAAACATAACCACGGTAAGCTCCAACCCCTGATGTTATCCAATGACTCATATGTGTTCGAGAATATAAGGTGGTACCGTCTGGCGTCAGGAAAAGTGGAAGAACGCAGGTCCGCATATATGCATCGAGAAGCAGGGAAATTATTTCCTTTTCTTTTTGTCCGAGCCATTCAGGTCAATTTTGCGGCCACTTCGCCATGCGCTTCTTTAGTGTAGTTCATATTGAGCAATAGAACCTATCTGCTTACTGTGAACGAGGGGACCATGCCGCGCTGCAGTTTCTCTAGAATCTCGACCAAATCTACCTTTAAATTGGAATCACCTTATGCAACCATTGTAATTTCCGAGCTCAGTCATATATAGACCCCCTTGTAAGCTTGAGGTAGTTGGAGACTACATAGCTGGGTGGAGCTCCACAACGCTAAGCCAGTTGAAACCCTGCGCGCTGATTTGCGCTTCATATATACACGCATACATATTTCCCAACCATGAATTGATAGCCGGTGGCCAAGTTCAGCTATGCCCGGCCACGATGATATTCAATTTGTGCCTGTAGCTTCGCTCAGAGGGTCAATTTGAAATTAAACTTCGGCGCTACCTTCGTCTTGTACTTCGCCACATTACTTCTCTGAGAATACAGTAATGCAAACACTGGTAGGCTCGAGTTCTCGTACTGCGAGATCCATGCAGCATCGATGATCGAATTGCCTCCCATCAAAATGGTAAATGAAACGAGAGGTCCCACGACAGGGAAAGCATCCGTTGCGATGGCCAGAATCTGAACCATGAAAAGCGCAAGTTGCTTCTCCTACGGGGTCGATTCGGTGATATTGTAGTTCATGACCAAGCCGTACTCGCGCTTGATGATATCAAGGAAAGCCTTGCCATTGTAAGTGATAACTCCGTGATCTGGTGTCACGTCCTTTGTTGCAGAGCTGGTCTTCACACTCCTAGCGGGAAAGGCGAGAACAAGGTCACGACCGTAAAAGTCAATTGGTCGTCCTTTCTCGCCTTTTGCAGAGATATTCTGGTACCCAACTTCTTCTTCCCCCTGACGGGTGTATACCTCCCCTGGCATAGGTAGAATGCACATTAACTCAGTGATGTCCAGTCGAAGCGTCACGTCCGCATGGCTAAGGCTTAGGCTAAAGGTAGGGTTTGTGGCGAAGTCAACGTGGCCGGTCACAATACTATCAGGCTGACCGCCGGGAGAGGAGAGCAAAGCCCGCCGCTGATACCAAGGCCATGGGGTGTACTTTGGTAGGCCAAATAACTCGTCGTCTCTGGGCTGGACCGGGCAGTCGGGGTATATCCAGTTACCGAACTGATTCCAATCAGCCATTTTCAGCACCAATTTTCCCAGGTTGAATTCCAAGACATCTCCAAAATCAAGTTTCAAAAAAACTCCCATCTCCGTGATGGCAGCACCGAAAGTATCCACAGGACGAGTTTGGAGTTGGGAATGACCTTCCATCCCGTGGGCCCGGCGTTGATCGTGTCGGAAAGCGCCTTGACGAATTTCCCACGTTCTCCGGTGTCTGTATATGCCAAAAGACTTTTGATAGTAAGATTTTTGAACTCAGGCTTCTCAGCTATCTCCTGTGACCATTTCTCTGCGACTAGCGTGGCGGAGCCTGCATGTTTCTGATTTCCAAAGAGATGTGGCCGGTTTTAAGCCCAGAAATCCAACATCCATTTTTTTAGAGATTGCTGGAATGTGCCGTCGAGGGTGCCATCGAGGCTTTTGCTGAGATCCTCTTGGTCAACTTCCGCACGGTAGTATTTGGGATTGCGATCAACATTGTACTTCTTGGCTAAGGCATCGAGGTCCCTGGCCTTGGCCAGTTGATCCTGTGGACCCTTGTCTTTGCAGCTATTCAACCATTTGCGGAGATCTTCCTTGGCTCGTTTTGTTTCTGGGTCTGAGCCTTGGAAAAGAGCCTCGTGAGAAGGCTCCCCATCCGAATTCGTTGCCTTTTCACCAAGTATCTTCTTCGTGAACCGGGTCGTAGTTTGCAAAATCGGATGCAGTACGTTGTCCACGATGGTCTTTTCCGGCATGATCTCGAGCCCAGCTCTGTCAATTTGCTCCGGCAAAAGATCTCTTTCCGGCTGGGGATAAAGCTTTGAGCTGTAGGGGATGGCGAACGGAATCTGAACAAATCGATGTTTGAAATCCAGTCGGATCAACTGGACAAGTCTTCGTACGGCCACGGGCAGTTCCAACACTGTGGGAGGTATACCCCACGAATTGCATAGGTGAGGTCCAGCCACAGGAATCGCTCCTCGGGAGTTGGCATGGGGAAGTGTACCAAATATGCCTGTTCCGGCTGCGCGAGTAAATTTCCATCTTGATGCAAGGTCACGATCCGAGTTGGGTTGCTAGCATCCCTGCCATACAGAGCTGAGATTTTTGTCGTAGCTTGCCGTCGCCCCTCCAACAGCAAATCCAGTACGCGGATGCTTCTTCTTTGGCTTGTCTTTGTCTTCGACTTTCGCGTTGACTGTGATGTCAACCCAAAGAAACTAATAAAAGTCCTCCCCTTCTCGCTTGAGCTCTTTCATACGATCCTCATCGCTAATATGTAGCTTTGAGTCCCACCAAATAGAGAAAAGCTTTCTGGGAAACCAGACTACTCCTTCTGGTGGGCCCGACATTGTAATAAGTGGTTGAGCGTTATTTGAACTGTCAGATTTCTCAGCAGAAGATGGACGATGAGGGTCCAAATGCAAGAATTGTGGTCCAGGATGCACTATATATACACCCCCCCCCAAAAAGACGATGATTGTATGAAGTCAGAAGTGCAGAGGCTGGATGAGACCGCAGCTGAACATCTTGCCACCAAAAGCAAAAATGCTATGCTGTGCAAAAGCAGCCAAACCAGCTAATGCATTTTGCTGAATTCTATATCCATCATTGGCGGGCTGAAGATGAGCGGAAGCTGAACTTCGTAATTATGACGATCAGGTCATAAGGAATGTCTTGAATAGTTCATGAGGGCATTGTGCGGCGTGCATGTGGCTGGCCTTGGCCTCTGCTAGCCATGACTTTTCACATACGGACTGCAATGGCTCTCGACTGCAAGTAGAAGCACGGGTCATATGCGTGGTTCTCTTTGCGTGAATGATTGACTGCCAGAAATGCCTCATACGCTTATTGCGAAAGAAGCGATAAAGCGGTCTCTTGCTGACCCGTATTAGTACCAAGAGTGATAGGCTTCTTGAAAGACAAAGATGAGTGTAGGTGAAATTGATGGATAAAGAAGGTAGACTGAATGCAGGCATCTACGAGTATGAGAAGGACTGGGAAACCACCCCGCACTTAGCTAGCCCTGACCGCCTGCTCAATCTGGCTATATTGATTTGTCGCGGTCGATCTCCAATTTGCCTTTCTCTACGCGTTCTCCTCATCACTTACGATGTTGTGTTTTTACTTTCGCCTGCTTCAATGCGTCCTGTAGCTGTATGTACTACTTCCGTCGAACTCTAGCAGCCTTTTAAAAAGCTGACGTACCACTAGACACCCTTTCGTGTATCCTCGCGATCGAGTGGAGGCCCGCAGTTCGCCTCGACTCCTCGATTCTTCGTCTCGCAGAGAACCCCCGCATCGCAGCAGGCAACTCAGGATGCATTCTCCACCGAAGACGACGGACCCCAGAGCACTCCAGTCCCAACTGCCCGTTTTTTGAGGCGCGATAGGGGTGTAATCTCGACGCCTCGCCAGAAAGAAATCATCGAAGATTCAGACGATGCGAAAGACGACCAGCAAGATGATACGCCACACATACGTTCGGGAGAAATCATCTTCGATGACGGGCAAACGCAGAGCAGCTCCCCTGTGCCACCAGTAGATGAAGATTCCGAATTTGAAGATCTCTTCGCAACCATTCGAGAGCGGAAAAAGCGGCGTCGAATCTCAGTGAACGACGATGCTCCCTCATCCCAACCAGTAGCGACACGATCAGACACAGATCAGATCGTGTCATCGTCACAAGATCATCCCGCGTCCCCAACGCCTCAATCCCAGTCCCCAACTCCAGGTGCCCCCAAACAGTCTTCGATGCAGACGCAAGCCACTCCAGCTCCTTCACATCGTACCCCGGCAGCCACAGCTACTCCTCGACCCACAGCGCCGGCAAGCATCAACCCTCCATCCACAACCAATCCCCGACGTTTCCTCTTTCCAACATCTCACCTACCTCCAAGCACCCAACCCCAATCAAGTAGCAAAGCATGGGTCTCTGCATCGACGCAAGAGCCACCACCATCGTCTCAACGACGTAAACCACCCGCTTTCGTGCTACCTCGCTCACCGTCCCCATCGCACATGGACGACGAGCTCGCTGCCCTCCCGACCCCGTTCTCGCCATCCTCGCGTGCGCTGCGTCGACGCGGACGTGCTCGCGGTCCCGCCCACGCTTATCTCCCTGACGGGATGGCTGCTGAAGTGCGCAGCTGGGTCCTGGAAACGGGCACACGACACGACCAGCAGCGACAGACGGGTGTGGCCCGGCGCACAGGAGCGGATACCTCCGGGAGGGAACCGCGGTACAGTTTGACCATGGTTCGGATTGAGAATGTGCATCTGTCTGCTCTTCCGAGCTGCGGTCCTCTTGCGTTTGTGTGCGGGCATGAGACCGATGCTCTTGGTGATGAGGCAGGGACAGAAAGAGACCCACGGCTCAGGAAATTGCTTCTCATTGGGGCACCCCGGTCTCAGTCTGAGACTGTGATACAGTCCCGGCGGCGTGTCACCTCAACAATGCCTGAGCTTCGCCCTGGGAATGCCATCGGCATTTGTCGAGGGTTGACCTGGGATATCGATCTGGGGGAGAGTGACATAGGAGTGGAAATGAGAGACAACTCCTGTGAAAATACTGCTTTGCAAGCATCAGGGAAGTGGACCGTGGTGCTGGAATGGGAGCTGGTCTCCGATGTAGATGGTCAAGATAGTGCATAAATTAGATACCCTACATGTATGAGCATGAGACAATAACAACCACCTCATCGTAACGATGATGTCTGAAATAACATGTCCATATACACTTGCTTTTGGCCCTATCCCAACAAAACGCCACGCCTTGCAACGCCAGATGCAACCAAAATCCAGCTAAAAACTCATGCATAGCCAATGACTTAATCGGCACCGGTATCTTTCACCACAATTTTCAGCGCATCGACCGCAACGGTGCAACCCCACTTCACCAACTTCAAATCTTTGCCCGAGGGCACGATATCTGTCTTCGCGACGACCTTGCGCAGGAAGAAGATCAGCCCCTTGGCGATCTGCGGCGTCTCCTTGACACGCAAGAAGATCTCCATGAGGGCCTTTTCATCCCGCTCATCATCGCCGTCCTCCTCGCCTTTCTTGCTCTTCTTGCTCCCGCGCTTCTTCTTCCTGTTCTGTTGCTGCGACTGTTGCATCACGCTGATGAGCAGCAATTCCACAAACGTCTTGCTCTTGGGCTGCAGGTAGGCGAAGTTCAGGATTTTCAAGATACCCAGGTTCAAGGTCCCGTCAACCACCAGGGAGGCGTACATCTTGGCCAGGTTGACGATGGACTTCATCCCAAGCTTGTTGTTCTCGTCCTCGTCGTCGCCGAAGCCGCCGTCGGAGTCGGAGTCGTCGTGCAGGTCGCCGTTCTCGCCCATGCGCTTGAAGATGTTCCACAGGGTGTACATGAAGGAGACCTTGATGCGGCGGCCCATCTCGCCGCACAGCCGGCGGGCGATCAGCGTGTAGTAGGGGTTATGCGCGGCCTCCTCCATGGCGCAGTGGGTCAGCACGCGGGGAATCTCGAACTCCTGGGCGCGCTTGAGCCGGAGTTTGAGCAAGCGCACGTGGGCGTCCTGATAGTCCGTGGCAGACATGATGGCCACGAAGATCGAGCGACGCACGTCCGTGTTCATCCGGTGGGCTTTGGCGATGTTGACCCAGTCGGGTTCTTTGTCGCTGTCGTCGTCGTTGTCGGGTAGGGCGTGCTGCTGGTCCGCGCCAGCGGGCAGGCTCGAGAGTTCCTGGCGCGCAGACTCAAGCGGATCCTCGCGCCAGCTGGCGCCGACGAGCCACCATTTCCCCTTCTTGGCCGAGTTGTGGATGTCCTCCCGCGAGATGCTGATGGGTTCCGAGGCGCGGATGACCCGCGTGTTGTTGAGCGCGCCGAGGATCTTGCGCATCTTCGTCAGATGTTCGGACGAGATGGTGGAGCCGGCGCCAGCTTTCAGGCGATTGTTCTTCAGGTCGGTGATCGTGTCGATCATGAATTTGGTGCGGACGGAGAGGGACGCCTCGCCGGCTTTCGCTACGGCGGGTTGAATGAGGAGCACAATGTCCTTGAGAGAGGAGGGGTCATCTTGGCGGAGCTGAGGCCCAGAGTCTGTGGTTCGTCGTTAGTACTATGTATGGTATGTGAGTGAGCTTGCAGGAGGTTAGATACGTACTTCGGATGATCTTGAGGAGAAGCTCGGTGTTTTCTTCTGTAATGTCCTGGAGGAAGATCCGGATGTAGTCAAACATCAACGTGCTTGAGATGACGTGGAAATTGTACAGCTGGGAAAGAAGGGAGATCAGGTTGATTGTCTCCTTCCCTGAGAACGACCCTCTTTCGTCTCCACGAGCATCGAAGGTTTCGACAATCTTTTGCACAATCTCCGCGCCAAAGTCCATACCCATCACCTTGTAGACGGCAGCAATGAAACCCGCATGCAGGATGATGAAGGTATCCGACAGGGCGGATCGTTCGCAAATCAGTCCGAACAAGAGTGTGATGAGGGTCGAGGTGACTTCTCCACGGGGATAATCACGGTATAGCTTCTCGAACTCCGCCAGGATTGAGATCATGTTGGCTTCGGACAGCTTGTTCAGGTGTCCTTGCGCTTGTCTCCGAAGACGTACAAGACTCTCGGACTCCGAGGAAGCCTTAGCGCGAAGCGAGGGAGGAATGTACTTTTGTGGTTGATTCCCACTGGGCTCTTGAACCGGAGCAACGTATGGGTTTTCCTTCTTCTTAGGAACGGGTTCCTTTTTCTCTTCATCCTCGTCGAGATCCATACCATCCATATCCTCATCTTCATCATCCTCATCCTCCTCCAAGTCCTCATCCTCATCAAAGTCTCCAAGGGAGTCGTCGTCTTCGTCAAAACCCTCCAATCCATCCAACCCATCCTCACTACCCATCTCGCTGTCATCGTCATCCGACTCAACGTCGTCCTCGACCGGCAAACCCTGGGCCTTTCTCCGCTTGTTGCGCAACCAGTCGTCGGCCTCTCGCTTGCGCTTGCGATTTTCATCATCGGAGCCCTCGTCCAGATCGCCGAGGAGATCACCCAAACCATCTTCCTCAAAAGCCTTAGGAAGCTTCTTGCCCTTCTTGAGACCCAACTTCTTCTCCAACGCAGCAATTTCCGCATCATCCTCGTCCAGCTTCGCTTTGACTGTCTTCGAGATCGGACGCGAGGCAGCCACCGCCTCAGCATCGTTGTCGGTCGTCTGCGATTTTTTCTTCGGCTTCTCGGGAGCAGCAGCCTTAGCAGCCTCCTTCTTCTGTTTCAACTTGGCCATGGTCGCCGCAACATCGTCGTTGTCGTCCGAGTCTCCCGCATCTTCGTCGTCATCAAATCCACCAAATCCATCCTCATCATCGTCGTCGTCATCGTAACCCCCGTAAGACCGTTGAGGACCCCTCTTCTGCCCTCCCCGCTGTTTCTTCGACTGTCGTTCCTCTTTCCGACGATCTTTCCTCGCGCCGGGGCCGTTGCGCTTCCGGTCACCGTAGGTATCGCGGATCCCCAACTCCTCTCGGAGATTGCGAGGTAACGAAGTTGTATTATGCCTAGGACGTGGCATTTTGTTTTTTTGGGGGGTGAGAATGTTGATGCAGTGAACTTTTTTTTTGGTCTTCTGCGAAAATAATGCCGTTTCAAAAAAGTCCGCGGAGGCGGAAACCATGAAAGGCGGTGGGATGAGGTTGCGGAGCTCCTCTCCTCTCCCCACTCAACTCGCTGAGTCGAGGTCGTCTGGCCATTCGATTCATTGATTAGAGCATAGCTTCACAAGTGGATTGAACTGCTGCTTCCCTATCTCCCCATACTTCAACTTGCTGCCCACAAAATACAACTTACCAGGTGTTCAAGACCACTATTTCCTCCAAATCAAACCCCTCAACTCCCACCATCCACTTCCCCATTCCTGGGCACGCATCTACTCAAAATGCCCGCACACCTCAACCATGAAGAGGTCTGTCCAGCCCGAACCCCAAATCCTCCAATCTGACCCCCTCGGACACTTTGACCCCCCCTCCAACCCCCCAAACCGTTTACATTCTATGCAAAAATCTAATTCAAAGATAGTTCTTCACCTCCCTAACCACCCTCCTAACGACCACCTCCCAAAAAGCCCGCGGCTCCGTCTACCTCACCCAAAAGCCCTGGATCAACACCGACAACTCCCAAGACCAACAACAACAACAGCCAGCAATCCTCATCCGCGCGACAGACGGCAACACCGGCGCCCCGAACCCGAAGAAAGTGAAGACCGACAAGAAGACGGCGGCCGGCGCGGCCTCCAAGAAAGTCAAGCTGTCGACGGTGGTGAGCCCGGAGGAGTTGGAGGCGTTCTACACCCGGTATGCGGAGGTGTGCAAGGCCGGGATGACGGGGTTGAAGAAGCGGGATCGCAGTAAGAAGAAGACTGCCAAGGGGAAGGCTGCGGGGAAGGTGCAGAAGGCTTGATTTCTACTTGTTAGGCGTGAAGTCGAGGTCCTATTGAGGTAGGATTATGGACTGTGGCTTTGGGGTTGATTGGGTGCGAATGGGAAGGTTTGAGCGATTGGAGGATATGATGAATGATCTGCTGTGCTTATTCATTGTATGGCTGATTGCATTTATTAGGCGTTTCATGGGTCGATCTCTTTTGTTGTTCTTTCATATACCAACTGATATTCATGCAACTGGGTATGGAGTAACCGAGTTCTCGAGCCATCAATTGTGTAGTATATGAGCATCCTCTATGAGTTTCTCAAGGAAGAAGCATGGCAGCATGGCCCCCTGCCAGAAGGTACCGATTGATATCAAGTGGCCATCCAAATCTCTACATGCACCAAAGAGAAACCCAGAGTTACACATCTTCTCGGCAAGCAAACCCTTGCCCTTCCCTAGTCACGGATCCGTCCCTCATCACACTCTAAGACAACGTGTCTCTCTTCCCTGTGAAGTCAATCACCATCCTCCACTATCAAGCAAAAGACAAACCCCGAGAGCCGCAGTATACCCAGGAGTCCAGCCCGTGACACAGGTCAACCCAATAGAGACCGAGAAAATAAGTAAGGTTGGAAGGAAATACGCGCTGAATGGCCGTCCTCTACACAACCACCCACCCACCGACTCCTTATCAATGCCGCAATCCCCACCAGATAGTCAACCACCACCCAGGAGCTAACCCTCCAACGCGATACAACCAGAGGGCCTCCGTGCGGATCGTCAACGACCAAATTCCCCACCCCCTCTCCAATTCAAATGCCTGAAAACAAGCCAAACCCACAAGCCATCTTCAAGCTTAAGCCCCCACCTCCCCGTGTGAATGCCATAGTTTCCCCCGCAAACCCCAAAAGCCTCGAACCCCAGACAAACCACATAGAGACACCGCGTGATCGAGACGATAACAACCGGTTTGTCATCGTTACGCCAAACGACAACAACCCCGTTATTTGATTATTTGGAAAGCGGCAGGCGAGGGAAGGCGGGCAAGCCCGGGGCCGGTAAGCGGTAGTAGCCGTTCTCGCGCTGGCGGATGGGCGGGACGGTGAACAGGATCAGGCTGCCCAGAAAGAGGACCCGTTTCTGCTGGAACTTCAGGGGCACTTTCCACCAGGCGTGAAGGGCCGTGAGCCAGACCCGGCTTTGTTGGCGGATGCGCATGGGGACTTTCCGCCACATGGTTGTGGTGGTGTGGCGTGCATAGAGAGTGGGGGAGGCAATCGGGGGGTGGGGTGAGAAGGAGGAGGTGGGAAGGAAGAGGTGAAGATGGACGTAGTCGCGAGTAACTACTACGCGCTGCAATTCGGGGAGGGGAGGTGGTTTGGTGGTAATAACGTTTTAAGGATGGGGAACGGGGGACCTTAGGTTGTTGCCATGGGCGGGCGCTTACCTATGGACTGTTCAAGTTCCCTCCCGGTCCTCCCCCTCACGCTAATATGACCTATCAACTTTCTTTGTCCCCAATCTAGATCATGCCATTCGTTCAGGTCTCAACCCCGGAGGTCCGTTTTGCGTCTCTAGTACCCTACTTATCAAATCACAATGGGTAGAAAGTTGATTGGCAGGTTGATGATTTCAGATATCTAGAAAAGAAATGTCTCACAAATTAAGTATAATTGATGGTACACGCTAGAATACAATAAAGACATTAGGGTACATTTCCAATGCAGATTGGCCCACCCACAAATCAAATGTGTCCTGGACCATGCATGGACTGGATAACGGAAATTCATGTAGATAGATCATCACAGAATGAAGGCGTGTGTGGGAATAAAACAAGAATATCATGACTGACGAATGGGAGTGAAGGAAATGTGCCAAAGAGCGGTATGTTGAACTGGGAAAGAATAGTATGGTAAGCCAGCGAAGCCGTTATCTCCGCCCACACATCATGAGTCTTTGTCAGTAGACTCCTTGGACCTTCTAAAGCAATCAGGAAGAGGAAGGTCGAAATCATCCACAATATCCTGACCTTCAGCTAATTGGTCCTCGATATTGCGCTTGAGCTCCCCCATAGTCGAGTTCAGAGCAGGCCCGATAACAATCCGGGCAGCAATATGGATGAGCACGACCAGGAGCTGAATGGGAGGGACCAAGACGAGTGAGGCGGTCTTGTGAATCAAAGAAGCTGCATCGTGCTTCTCAGGTTTAGCGAGCGTCAAAGTAGATGGTGGTGGCATGGGAGAAACCTCCCGCTGGCGGGATGCCTTGGAGCGACGGCGAAATTCTGCGCTCATGCTGGAAAGATTAGAATTAGAGTCGGTGCTCGACGCAAGCCCGGTAGGTTCTGGGGCGGGCGAAGGAGAGTCAGGGGTGATGGTAACTGGTTGGGGCTCCTGCTCCGAAAGGTCTCTTGCCAGATCGTCTGCCGGCGACATATGATCCCAACAGTCGACGTATACAGAGACCCTATTGTCAGAGCGCTTCGACTTGGGAAGATGTGGGTCTTCCGATGACGAGTGAACATCACCACTTTCATTGTCATAGTGGTCGTCACTCTCGCTTGACGCGGGAGTAGAGCAGGTGTCCAAATCCGGGATAGCTGAAAAAGAAGGGCCAAGTGAGTGAAATGATTCCACACTAGAGGAAAAGGATAGTTCAGGATCAACCTGATCTTCAGCACTATCTTCGAACCTTGCCAGCAAGGTCTGAAAGTTCTGCTGTGTTTCGGCCACGGATTGGCCCGAATGCTGAGTTGGCCCTATGATCTGAATGGGCTCAGACGACTCATTATCGTCTGCGATGGTCTCTAAAATGGTGCTGTTGCTGCCTCTGGTCGTAAAGCCACTATCGTCCGTCGCATCTCCGTCCGTGTCTTCGCCAGCGCTAGGCGAGTCAGTCGCCAAGTCGTCCTTTGGTTGAAGTCGGTCTTGCTTGCATATGGAAGAGACGGGGGCGCTTTCTCTGCGCCCTTTGGGACGCCATGCCCTCTTTCTTCTAGGCGCCTTGGCTTCCTCGGGGATTTCGACGGTGAAGCCTCTCTTGAAGGGACAGGGCGTAACTTCATATCGGAGAATCTTCGGCAACACGTTCTTCATTTCCGCGACTAACGTTCTATCGTCCTCCACTTCGTTGGGCAGTTCGATGCGATAATAGGTGAGAGGTCGGATGCGCAGGACAAAAGTCGACTCGCCATCAACGCACCAACATTGTGAGTTCTTGAGGATGGCGTGGACGACATTGCCGCATTTCAGGAAGACAGTCAAGCCGTGAACATTTTCTAGACGGAGAGGCGCGAGCGCGACCGTGCGTTCGGTAGGCGATCTCCAAGGAAGTGTCTCAACGGTATCAACCGGGTAATCAAAGTCCGCGGGCGCGGTGCTCGAGGGAATAGGCGCGAGGGCTCTAGGGGCAAAATGGACGACTTTGGCGGAGGGATGGTAGAAGAGATCGTTCTCGGACGGTTTCACAGATTCTGAGTGACGACGTGTTCGCGGGTTTAATTTGGTGGGGAGAGTAGCAGACCGACGGATGGACAAGGTCTGAGGGAGCGGCGCATCGGAGGAATCAGACATCCTCGATCATGGGGATCTTGGATGATGGGAATCTAAGGAAAAAAGAAAGGGGACCGAAACAGAAGATTACATTGAATAGAAGTGTAGGGTGATAAAAAAGTGCAGGCGATGTGAAATATGGAAGGGTCAAAAACGGAAAAGGAGAGACGATCAGCAGGGTTATTGAGGAGGGGGGGAATAGAAAAGAATGATGGTGGTGGTGGTGAGATAATCGAGCCCGAATGACCCCGGAAGATGGATGGATGAACTCAAACTGGAATATCCATGGCAAAAACCAATCTAGACTAGTCGCGGATCTCCCCTGCGCTCTGCACGCTGCAAGCTTGTTGGGGCTGGTGTGGAGTATGATTTTAATCGCCTAAGGCAGTAAGGCACTTTACACAATCACGTGAAGTGTGGCGTCGTGGGGCTGGGCGGGTAGTCCGGCTGCTGGCTCCGGCGCTTAGCGGATGTTGCACCAATCCACAATCACAGCCATACTTGGACATTTCCGTTATGTGGTTGCCTGTGGCTGTTCCCCCTCGAGCCAACACACCACTATAAATAGCCCGACATGTCCAATTCTTTCTCTTTCAACCATCCCTGAGCTCACATCTGTTTTTTTCCTGAGCATAGTCGAGCATCATGCCGAACTTCGAGCCTAATGCCGTTATTCGCGGCTGTCAGCTCACCATTGTTGGAAGTGAGTGAGATTCTTCCCCTCTATTACCGCTCCACCCGCCGCGTGGAGCTTGCTTGTGGCTCCATGGAATGCACCATGTGAAGCAAAAAAGGGGTGTTGAGATGACTTCTCTTGCTTTGTCATGCCTGGTTTTTTCAATTCTTGATCGTCAGACCTGCTGTCGGGTAGAATGATCGATGGGCGGCATTGAGCAAATCACCTACGTCATCGGAGCATGGGAGTTAGATCGCTGACCATCGCTCTATAGCTGTCCGCGCGCTGGGAAATCCCGACTTATTCAAATACAATCACTTTCGACAGGCTGTTTTTGCAGTCGCTGTTGGAATTGCTATCCAACTTATCATTCAAATTCCGGTATGAGCGGTGCCAATTACCGGCCTCGAGATATCTGGCCCCCTAGCTAACAATCACGTCTAGATCATTGGGGTCAAATTCGTTCTCTGGATCCTTTCATGGGTTCTTGATCTAGAAAATGCCACCTGGGATGACTCTCTCGTCGAGGGTCTCGACTTCATCTCCAACTCCGTGCTCCAGGTGCCCTTCTTGCTCATGACACTGATGCGTTATATCACACCCACCCTGGACGAGATGTAAGTCAAATATTATGATTGATATTCAGTCGGATTGGGTATGCTAACTAGTTAGTTTCATGGAATCTCTCAAATGGGTTGACGCGACCTACGTGCACAAGCACAAGCATGAAGACCCCAAGAACCTGCGCGAGATGTATTACCCCAACCTTTCCATGTACACCACCGCGGACGGCAAGGTCAGAACTC